CTCTCTCTCTCTCTCTCTCTCTCTCTCTCTCTCAGCTCGAGACCAAATTCGTTGCATGTCACACCTGATTGTGCTCTATTTTTGATGGTCCAGGGACTCGCACACAGAAAACATACACCAAAAGTATACACAGGACTTGAGTACACACATATGCTCATTCCAGATGTGAACATCATAATGAGTCTACACGTTGCAGCGTATGTTCACGTACACACACCACCGACTCAGGTACAGAGTGAGGTAACAAATTGGCCAAACAACAAATGCGCGTTCCACACGGTTTATTGTGCAGCGCATCTCTCGTCCGCTTCCCAGCACATGTATGCTGGATGAATCTTTGTAAACGGTGCGTGTGATAGGCTTCACTATATTATCTTTCCACTCTGTTAAAAGCGATGGGCGCTTTGTAAAGCATGGCAGATGTAATGTGCTTCGAATCATTCCAGCTCAACGGGCAGCGTGCATGAACAGGCCTGATCCCGTTCATTTAGAGCAGGACTCGGTCATTTAGAAACGCAACCATAGTTGGGAAATCTTATTGGATTAAGCACTCATATGCAAATACGTGGGGGAAAAAAAGGGCTGTAGATAATATTAATATATTAAACAGCTGCTAATGTCTGTTCACGAAGCATAACAAACAGTTGGACTGGTGGTGTTTAAGTGAAACGTAGGAGCATGGCACAATAATGGCGGTTCTACCTGTACGCTACCAATAATGCCGACAGTTCAAACCACCAAGTGCAAAAATCTAAATTTCATTCAGAACGGGCCGCATGTCCTCACACTAAACCGTTGAAGGGTGGACAGTGCGTGTGCTTGTTTACTCTCATGCTGGCACACTGTGCCGTGATGAAATCCACTCTGAGCATATTGTTGATAACTCGGGTCTAAAATCCATCATTCTCAAGTGTGCAGTCTTCACCATGAAGTGACACATACTCTAAATCAATCAAGAGGCACTGTGCACAAACGTGCTGGGTGCTACAGTGCAGCACTAGTTCAGGACGTGTTCACACAATTTAAAGAGTGGGCCGTAGACACATCAGGCTCATCATATAATCCATCTGAACATCGGCAATATAGCGATACACATCTGTGAAAACTGACTTGGAAGGCGCTGCTGCATATGAATACCTATTCAGCTCGTTTTCAGTAATATTAAAAGGTTCCTTTCTCGCCATCACAGCTCTGATCTTCTGTGAGGTATGCATGATGTTTGACGGTGGTTTGATGTGTTCTCATTTTAATATTAGTTTGAAGTTCATCCTTTTGGAGTTATACTGAAAAAAGTTTTTTTTTTCCCCACTGCAGAATGGTACTGTAATTGTTTCATAACTCCTAGGCATGAATCAATCAGATGATGCATAGCTATATTTCAACATTGTTTGATGTCAGAAATTCAATTGGTGACGGAATAACACTCAAGTGTGTGTGTGTGTGCGTGTGCGTGTGCGTGTCGGGTGTGTGTGCATGTGGCAAAAATTTGTGTCTGTTTTTTTTGTTGCTATTTGCATTAAATTGACAAATACTTTGTCATACCAGTTGCAGTCCACAGCTGCAGTCTTACACACACACACACACACACACACACACACACACACACACACACACACTCTTTTACTGACTGCCAACAAATCTTGCTGCGGCCAATTAGTGGCAGGCCTTACAATGATTTCAGATAAGTCCACCTCAGATAAGCCTCAACACACGAAAGCACCCTTCAGCATTTTCACATAATATAACACATCCCACATTTCGACATGAGGTAGCAATGTCTTTTGCATTATAGAAATATATTTCTAATTCAGTCTGCAGACAGAAATATCCTCGGGCAGCCACAGGGAGACAGTTAATGCAAGCCCATTCAGAAAATGTAAAGACAACGAAGAAAACAATCAAGGAACAACAATAAGTAACAACAAAAATAATTTCAAACTATATTCAAATCACACAATATAAGTGATAATAATTGTTTTCATTATATTAGTAGTCCAAATTGGCTTTTGCAGAATCAAGTAGTAGAATGATTTAAGGCAGGGGTGTGCTCAAAATGAACTAGTCAACAACACGGGAAGACAAACGTGTGTACAGATGTTCGGAAAAGCAGAGCTAGAGAGAGAAGTTTAAACCTCCCTGGCTCATTTCTCACCTTTGCACAGCTGTCCAATCACCATACAGAGAAATTTAAGTGAAAAATTTAAATCCTTGGATATGTGGGATGCATTCGGTGAGAGCGGTGGTACTGGATGGATAATTGGAAACAAAGTCAAAACCCGGATTGGTGGGCACATGTAGCATTTCCTCACATGTGCCATCCATCATTTGTGATGTTTACTTTGTGCTCAGTTCACTTCTCCGTTTATCTCCCTCTCCCGCATGCTGCACTGTCCCTGCGGCGTTTGTTTTTAGACTCTCGCTCATAAATCTCCCCTCATCGGCAAAAATGTGCAGACAGGCACAAATAAATACACTAAAGGCACACGCATCGGGCTCTCTCCTGTGAGCCGACACAATACACACCGCGGCGCCATTAATTCAGTTAATAGTTTAATTCCACTTTGATTATCAATACAGGCAGAGAGCTGCCAGCCTGAGGTAGCCAGTGTAATTAGTCAGGTAATAATAAGCTGTGGACTGGTAGCTCATCATCACAGCCTCCAGTCCCCAGTACAGATGGGTCCTAATAACATCTTTCAGCTCACCTGTCTCACTACCTGTCTCACTAACTGACCGCCTGTCTGACTGTCAGCATAAACAGGTCTTGACTGAAGGTTCATAAGGGACATGATTGGTTATTTGTGTTTAGTCATCAGTCTAATAACAGCTTTCAGCTCTCCCGTCTGTCTCACTCGTCTCGCTGTCTCACCGTCTCAACAGCAGTGTACTCGAGCCTCATACAAGATACATTCAGTTGATTGATCTTTGCCATCAGCTTAATAACTGCTTTTAGCTCAGCTGATTGTATGTCTGTGATTGCCTGTCTCTCTATCTAAAAGGCACGGACATGCAGGAGATACTCTTAGCTCGTCAATTTAACAGAAAGCTTTCAGCTCTCCATCTCTGGTCTGTCTTATCCTCCTCCTGTCTCTCTGACTGTCCAAAGAGCCAGCACCTCTTCAGCCCATCTACCTGTCTGTCGGACACTCTGTCTGACTGTGGTTAGAGACACCTTTTCGCAGGTCAGGTCAAAAATGAAATATGTCACTGCAAAACTCTTTAATTTGATATGACATACTGGATTATTAACACCATGACGGAGCAACATAATCATTTATGAAAGTCAAATTTCAAATGTTTTCACATTGTCATGTGATGCATTATTATAGACATAAATCTCTGCAAGCTGATTTTTATACCGTGCACATGTGAAGAGGAACCACCGGCCACCTCAACAGAAGGAAATCTAAACTTTTACACGGCAAAGATAGGCATGGACTTCAATTGAAGGCCGATGTTGTGATTCATTTTTTAAACTGGAGGCTTCTTGAGAGAGGATTAAAATCATTTCTGTCTTTCTGTGATAATCTGTTAAGAGTCACACAACTATAAATATTTGTCTGGTACTAGGAAGGAGCTGTGAACATTGGCAAGACAGAGATGATCGAGCGATAGTGATAAGAAATGTACAGAAAAGTGGTGAATGAGTCAAAGAGTGTGTGTGTGTGTGTGTGGGGGGGGGGGGAATAAGACAGGGAAAGCTGTTCAAATTTATCAGTAAAGGCAAGCACACAGTTGATGGCCTTCGCTAAAACAGAATACCAAGTGCTCGCGGCGTCCCTGCATTTCTATTACGACTTTCATTCCGCTAATTGGCGAGGACTGTTAAATAAGTGATATGTTTGTTGGTGTGCCGTGCTAATTTGTTGTTTTCAGTCCCCACGGCCATGTAACAACAGAAAATAGAGCAGGGTTTGCTCATAATCTAACTCTCTTTGTACTTAGATTTAATATGTTCAAGGGTCTTTGTGTGCGCTCAGGAGCCTTATCATCTATTTAACATGTCATCCGTGTCCTGTACAAGCCCTGTGTCAACAGTTTTGAGATCAATTACATCCATTTAAATTGGCTGGCATGGGACGGAGCCGGTCAAGTCATGTCAGATTTTTATGTGTCTGCATGTGTGTGTGTGTGTGTGTGTGTGTGTGTGAGTGTGTGAATTTGCATAATGCAAAATTTCAAGGCCCAAGCATAACATTGAAGGTCAGGACTTTCAGTAATTTACAGCAATAATTTTAGACCTCTATGTCAGAAACAATAAACACCATTCATGGTACGGCTTGATTAAATTGCTTCATATCAAGTACATTGATTTCTTCAAAGAATCATTTTAAATGGAGTTACATGGAGCTGGCAAATTAAATCATGCAATTAATACCATCATCAGCTTTGCATCAAAAATACAATTACTATTCCTTGACCAAATTGTCTAATATTTCTGTATAGAACGTTATCTAAAATTGAGTTAATTTATCTTTTTGATCCACTACTTTTATTTTATTGGCTCATATCAAGGCAGCTGCTGGAAAACTGGGTTATTGCCCAATAACTGGTTAGAAAGGTGGGAGGCTCTGGCTGAGTTGTTGGAGACTTGACATTCAGATTGCTGACTAAAGAAAGCATGAGTTGAGATGGCTAATATTGGGGCCCATGTACCTCAGGGGCCCTCCAGGAATGCAGGCTTAGGTGTTGCATCCTCTTGAGTCTCTTTTTATATGTAACTTTTAAGTGGTTCTGGTGGAGTATTCCTCTATGAACTCTTTTTGGTTCATTGGGATGAGTGATTATATAAATTAACTAGAAAGGCACTTGGGGAGCGCAGACCTCTGCCAAGGCTTTGGCCTAGAGCCTTAGAGCCCTGACTGTT